AGGCAGACTATAGCATGGTAGAATGTTTTCTAGTCATATCCATTGTTTGGGTACAGGCATGGAATAGATGCAGTAGTAAGTCTAATCAGCACTGTGATTCTGCCAGTTGAGTACAAAAGCAATGATGATATCATTAATTACAATAAAATTGAGATCTGGAGCCTTAGTGCTCATTGTGCAGCAACAACACCACCTCCAATCAGAATCTGCATCTTAACAAGACCTCTGGATGATCCATATTCACTTAGAGGTTTGAGAAATACTTGAGTGGAAGCCAAGTAAGAACAGGAAAAACATAAAAGACAGAAGGAGGTTAAAGAAATGAGAGGCCAAGCTTTGAAAGAGCCTCCATGTGGTTTTCACAGCCAACAAAATTGATGGCAGGAGAAATAAATGAGTCAAAGGAAGAGAAGAAATGAGACTATGGGAAATTGTCCAGATAACAGTAAATGAATGGCCTGGAAGGCTTGAAGTCCTGGTAGCAAATGAGTATGAGGAACAATGGAGTAGCTGGGCATGGTAGCACGTGCCTATAATCCCAGCTACTCAGGGGACTGAGACAGGAGGATCAGTGGGGCCCTGGGGTTCTAAGCCATTCTGGGTAGCAGAGCAAGACCCAGTTAAGGGAGGAAGACAAAAGAAAGAAAAAAATAAAAAGAAAAGCAAGAATGATGGGATTTAGATTGGTAGTCTTTTAAGGAAAGGAAATGGTTGTGGTTGCAGTCTCATTTTCAGGATTGACCTCTTAGGCAATTTGTCCTGATGAAGGGAGAAATATTGTAGTAGAAGGAGCTGTGGTTGTACCAGATTACATGAAGTCCTGCTGCATGTAGGGTAACTGGGGAGAGAAGTGGTCTCAACAGAAATACAAGCTTGGTGGGTTTCTATAGGACCCACACATTGGCATGCACCTTGGGAAGGGGTTCTCTTTAAACAAAAAGTAACTTCTTAACTTCTTAGGGTTGGGATCCCTACCCAAAGATCTACATTTGCACTAGAGGACATAAAACTCCCTAAGACTAGAGAAGTTTGTTGTTCTTGAAAAGAAGAGAGATGAAAGATGTCAGAAGCAGAAAGGGGAACAGAAGATGGGGAGATTCTCATGCTATTCAAGGGAGTGAAATTCACTGACAGCAGCTGATTAGAAAGGTGAGTTCTAGCCAGGCATGGCAGCACACACCTATAATCTCAAATCTCAGCACTGGGGAGGCTGAGGCTGGAGAATCACTGCAAGTCAAGGCCCACCTGAACTACATAGTGAGACCTTGTCTCAAAAAGAACAAGAAAGAGGGCTGGGGATTTAGCTCAGTGGTTCCAGCGCCTGCCTTGCAAGCACAAGGTCTCACGTTTGATCCCTGGTACCAAAAAAAAAAAGAAAAAAGAAAGAAAGGTGAGTTCTCCTGGTCTATCTGAGATCAGGTAACAATTTAAATTTTATTTATATTAAGAAACCAAACTGTCTTTCTTCAAAATATTCAGTGTAGTCTCCTGTTCTAAGAATGTATTTGTGAAGGGATCCGCGATATTAAAGAGAGTTAGAGGTCCGTGTGGATAACAAGTAAATGTAGACGATTAGGAAGATGAAAATTTTGGGGAAAGAGTTCTGAAGTTAAGAGGATTACCATGTGGCCACCTATCTAAAGGGCAGTAGCCTCACTGATAACTATGTG